AGGAAATAATCAATTTCTTACCTAAACTAAGTTTATACGTAAGCATTCGTGCTACAAGTTTAAATGTTCGAATCAAGAATTGATCTTTTTGTGGTTAGGATCGGTATACCCTTTGTATATAAAAGGAAATAGTATCCAGAAAATGTGTATCAAGACTGGTGCGCCACAATATCTAGAAAGTTTTTGTGCACACCGATATTCGCGCTACGAACTTAAATCTTTATATAAAAGGAATAACAACTGAAAATCTGGAAAATGTGTACGTACGGACGTACAAGATGGTGTGCTATAGTGGCTGGTAGGAGGAGTAAGTTCTCCGAAGAATATGGGGCTCATTAATCAATCGTTGATTTGGTTCATTACAGATTTAATCGCGGAACTTTCGATATTATTATATAATGTAAATTTGGTAAACAATGATAATATCCAACTTTTTGAATTAATTTCATTTGTTCGACTTCAATAAATCATAATAATAATGTTAAATACTTTAAGAGGTTTGTGAAAATATGATTCTTTATTATTGTCGATATAATTTACCAAAAATAATGTTTACTTACTACATATTAAATGTTTTTAAGATTATTTGAGTGTCGCTAAAAGAAAAACCGAAAATTTAAATATGACTTATATTTAAATTTTCGGGTTTTCTTTTAACGACACTCATTTGATATTTTTGGTCATGTTTGACCATGTGCGGATTTAAATGTTTTATAAGCGATATTTCCTTTTTAGTTAAAAAGATCGTGAAATAATTTCTTATAGACTCCGCCAGGAGTCTAGACACTTTTGCAGTAACGTGATGTGGCGTATTGTGGCACTTTCGTTTTGGCTTTATGTTATGTTTCCAGTTAGGGTTCATGGTTATAGGTCTTAAAAGTCGTACTTATATGTATAATTACGCTCCCGACATTTTTTGTTAGTGCCCAAAGGCGATTTAAACACTAGTTTTTGAGTATTTTCGTTTCTTTCTCGTTTTTTCTTGCGCACGTGTTTCTCTAAATACGCAACCACAGCGTCTAGTACAAAGTGCATTGTTTTTGCGGCATGAACAACTTTTAGCTGTACATTTTGTTCTACTACAATAACAACTACCACTTTTGGGCTTTTTCGTTTCTCTTGTCTAATTGTTGGGTCTTGAATAACTGAATTGTCTTCGTTTTTGGATTGGGCGTGTTAAGTTTTATTGAGCTGCAGCATTTTGTAAAGAAATAAAAGTGCCAAGTGGAATAATATCAAGTGCTAGATATTCATTCATACCCAATGGTTCCAATTCATTTGCTGGATGCTATTTATCTAAAATCCTGAACTCATATCAAACTTGTGAGGAATTTTACATTTATGTTATTTTTGGATAACTTTGTAGGGCAACGAATGTCTCTCCAATTTTAATTTGTTATATCACCTGAATTCAAAAATTACATATTTTAGTTTTATAATGTTTTTTCATAATTCTATTATTATAAATAATTTTACAAGATTACCTGGATTTAAACTTAAAGTGCATTTGGTTTTATGATGCTTTTCATAATACTACAAATAAATTGATGACTTTTTTTAACTTGTTGTATTGCTGAATTATGTAATTGCTTGTGGCATCAAAGCTTGCACAAGATTGACTATAAATTGAGATAAGACTTTCTTGGTCTGTCTGTATCTTCGATTAACGTATAAGAGCAACTTGCTTGAAATGATCCTTCTATATTAGAACTTTCCTGAGTTAAGTTTTTACTGATTGTATTAACTTGAAATAAACTTTCATATAATTTATAATTATCTTGAGATATTTTGTCTGATAATATATCATAATCAAAATTTTTATTTTCTAAATTTATAGAATCATACTGACACAATGAACACTATTAAATAAATTAATAAAATATTTATTATAATAATAAATAATTAAAAGATTGAATTGTATTTGTATTATTATTATTTATACATATCAGAATTTGATGCATGCCATTTTTCTTTTTTATTTCAAAAGTTTATTTGTAGTATAATAAATTTAGGAATCTGATATTTCCATACACCCAAATAATTATGAGTTTTACCATAATACATTTGATCACCGCAACTTATAATTTTGACCAATCCAATTTCAAGATCAGGTTTAACGTG